GATGTAACTAAGATTTTTGTTTGTTTATTATTGTTACTGATGGATTTATACTAATGACTTGTCCAGATCTCTGCTCATCTGCCCATTTCTCTCTTCAGACACATTTGTTTTAGATTGATTTGAAAGATGAGAACTCACAGAGGTTTTCTGGAGATCTCCTCCAGCACAGGTGAGGTCTCCCTCCGTTCCACCACATTCCTCCTCCTGAGACGCTGTCGGACACGACTCAAAGTCCGTGTGCCCTAGATCCTGAAGGTACTGGAAAAGAGGGGAGTTCTGCAAAGAAACGGCGAGAAACAGAAACRTTTTGGGCTGCAGAGGCGAAACGGCTGAAGAAATCAACATCAAACTGTAACAATTAGGCTGTGTGTTGAATTCACAATTAACCTAATTCTATTGATCTAATAAAACTCATAAAGCAAACTTTGTTTCAGTAATCGTCAGCTGAAGCTGAGCCTCTACGAAGACCCAGGTCCACATCTGGGAGGTATTCTGTGATGTGCTTTCACAAAATTGGATTTTTGAGCCTCGCTGGTACCTTAGCTTTCAATTAATTCCCTCCTGCTTCTGAATTGAAACAAGTTACGAAATAATAGCGAATATCATTCATTATCAGAGAGGAATAACCTGCACAGATTTTGTTTGAAAGATGTCTGACCCTGTTCATCCCCACTGCTGATCATTTAGGATAAATAATAAAGCACAACTCTGAGCATCTTAGCTGTATTTTTACTCCAGCACGAAAGCATCTCAAATATCCCTTTGTTGTCAACCCGGCTTCTGCGTAGATCCCTGTTAAACAGACAAATGTTACTTACATGCATTGTCACACGCAGTCGCAGCTCATGTTATTACCCAGATGTCATTTTTCAGAACCGACGCATTGGATGCAACCATTCCCCACCCCACCTCTGGTACCAGTCTACTAGAAATGGTGAAAGACTAACCCAGCAGCTCAGCCCCCCTCATGACCACCAAAGCTCCCTGACARAAACACGTTCAGTTTTAAGCCAAATATGTGGAGTTGTTTTTGGATTAAAAGCACATGGCAACAGGAAAACAGCTGCTTAAGAGGAGCTAGCCTGTATTGCGTGTCTGTAAATGAACCTAGCGCCTATTTACCTCATAAGAGAGGTATGACAAAGCATCAGTTACAAGTTTKTATTAAAAATAACGAAACGACGGCTCTCTTACGGACCTCAAACACCACATCTTCGTCGAACTCCTCCGTCATAGCTCTCCGCCATCGATGTTCTCATTCAGCATACCGAAGTTGTACGCRAGGGAAACACACAGCGGTGGAGAAGTTGATATGTTAGCCGACAGCTAAACTTCGACCAAAACTACAATTCCCACAATGCTCCGCTTTGAACTTGCCACTTCCTCGCGGYAAACGAACCGCGAGCAACCAATCGAGCGCCCCGGAGTGGTCGCGAGACGCAGCGGGCCTAACCGTTTGGGAAGAAATGCCAAGAAAATGGCGAGTTAGCGTAAATTAGCGCGAAGTGACCGGAAGATGCTTTCAAAATAAAACATTTCCCCCGATTTCAAACAAAGTAATGCGATAGAAAATTGATACAAAATAATGTATTTACATCACAATTAATCAAAAACGTAAACCAAAATATTGATTTTGTTATTTGTGTGTACTTTACCCAATTTTTACAAAACTCAAAACTAGCTTCCTCTAGAAAATATTTATTTMTAAAGGTACAACCGGAAGTGCATTATTTGGCTAAGTCCTCCTTTGGAACTTCAAACTCTTGGGGGAAGAAAAAAAAATCACCGTGGCTAAAAACTTCGAAAAATGGAAAAACTAGCTGGTGGCTCGTCTTTATCCACGAATCCGCTGGSAAGATAAGGAACAGCCCAAATGGACCTGCTTGTTTTCTCCCTGAGGCCATTTCCACTCTGACAATGGTGTGGAGGAAGGAAAAAAATAACTCTGATTTTTTTGCGCTCCCATTGAAAGCAAATCTACTCATGGAGAAAGGAGCAAGTCGGGAGTCATGAGCACAGGTTTGTCTCGTGTGGGAGAGAACTACTTTATCTCAGCGGAATATTTGCTTGTGCACAGCCTGCTCAGGTCAATTAAATGTAAAAACAAATGTTTGTTGTAGTCCACCACTTGTAACGGAGTAGGGGGAAAAAAACTATCCAGCGGTCGCGAGCAKCCACTTTTACGCACGCGCAGTTAATTACAGCTCTTTTAATAACAGTTTTAAAAGATAAAAGCAGAACGGTCTGGAGKTAATTGACAAAGAATGCTTTCTAAGATTATGAATCAAAACCAAAAATCCCCCTTGTGTTAGTTATAACAGCCTCCGCTGCAGCTGGAGGGGGTTAAATCCTTTGTCTTAAAACATCTGCCCTGCTGTTGATGCAAGAACAAGTCGGACTTTAAAGCTGTTATTTTTAAATACTTTATATAAATAAGAACTAGCAAAATCTACTCGGACTAGTAAGGCTGCATTTGCTAACTACATTTCACCAAATATGATATTAATTTAATACGTTTTAATGCAGATGCATAGTGTTGTCCTTATATGATCAGTCTCCTAGTAAAAACAGCCAATTTAAAGCTTATTTGGCGTTTTTTAGAATTGCTTTGTGACCGAAAATGTATTTTATTAACTCARTGTTGTTGTTACTATGTGCTGAGAAATTCGGCTTAGAGGTACAATGAAAAATAGTGTATCTGATAGTTTTTTTCAGTGCTCACYACCATAGACAAACAGTAAAAGACATAACTATTGTCACCACCGCTGCACAGGGTAAACTTCGTTAGCTTGGTGTGTGAAGCACTCTGTATCTAAGCTTTCTAATGACAAGTTTGTGCCGAATGAAAAGTGGACCTTAGTGGACAAAAATAAGATACAACACAACTACTTGAGAGGTGTATGTTTTTAATAATTAGAGAAAGTTTTGTTTTTATTCATTTTCTAACTGAGTTTTGTATCGAAGGAGAGCGGCGTGCACAAAGTAACTTTTTTTTTTTTTTTTTTTTTTTTTTTTTTTTTTGGCTCTTTTCGGAAACATCCGCTCGATGACTCCACTTCTCATGGTGTCGGCCAGCCTGGAGCTTCGGCCAGGAGAGCGGAAAATATGGCCTCCAATCCCGGGTTCACAGCTTTTCAGTCGCGTAGTGACTATTTATATTCACTATATGTTATTATTTAACCCGGTTATTTCCCCCAGTGGGGTTTTGTTTGTGTCCCTAGYTGCAAATCTAATTTTCAAGTCTGTGGAAAATTACTCAATGATATTTACTCAGTTGTGACATCCACACTCTGCAGAATAGTACCATAAATATTATTTTAATCAGTTGTTTTCCCACTAGGAATGCATAAGTACAAACTGTCAGGCTGACTGACAACAGATTCGGCCACGAGAAGAAAGAAAAACTGGAACAACTTCTCCGTTATCTCTACAGAACTTTTTTTTTTCCTGCTGCTGTTTCAGAAAAAAAAGCATATTGCAGCAGACATGCCGAGCATGCCAGGCCTTTTCAAAAACAGCAAATGTTTGAATGTGGTTCTGAGCTGAATTATTCAAATTCTCAGTGTTTGCTGTAAAAAAAAAAAAAAAAGAATCATTATTAGTGAAATACTATGTAATAAAACAACAATCTGGCTTCGACATTACATTAAACTCTATTTAAGTTGGGGTTTTTTACAAGCTGGCAAACTAATTCCACTCAAAAAATTCGGTTCACACGTGACTCGACCCCTCAGTTCTTCACCTCTCACCCTAAAGATTGACCTTTGACCTCAGTTTAAACTCCAGCTTGCAGCTGTCTGCCTATATCGGAGCACCGATGACGCATGTTCAACAGCAAGGGTTTTATTTTCCAAACTGCAAAAGCGAGTGATTATGCTTTTACCGCTACCTGTCGTCGCTCTGTTAGCAATATATCTTATAAAGCATTGGACTGATTTATATGAGTTTTACAGAATTTGGTTTAAATGTTTGGATGTTTTGGAGTCAACAATTCAAGAGGATGTCAGTTTAAAGCTCTGAGAGATGTGCATTCCTTCATGTAATTCTAGATCTTTATTATTTAATTTTATTTGTTTATGCACAGGTGTGAAGAAGCCTCCGTTAGCTCCCAAGCCTAAGCTCCCCGTCACGACCAAACCACCCATCGCCCCCAAACCAGGCTCTCTTTCCCAGTCCTCAGTGGTCTCCCAAACCTCCCCGTCCACTCTTAAGAGGCCCAAACCAGCTGTCGCCCCCAAACCGTGCCTACCCAAATCCACAACCTCCCCTCTGCATGCGTCACCCCCGCCGCTCAAACCCACCGAACCRTTTCACCTCTCTCAGGAGGAGCAGGAACCATCAGATGACAACCTGCTGCAYCTCAACTCCAGGAATGGGTTTCTATCGGAGGCTGGCGGAGGTGAATCGGATTACATCATTCCCACCTGCCCCTGCGGGGGGCTGGAGGACTGCTCCCRGGGTCGCCTCCGGGAGAACGGAGATGAGAATTTCCACAGAGAGCTGCTGCAGAACGGGGTCTCTGCGGAGGGAGACGCAGAGAYAAAGCCACAGGACCAGAAGGAGCTGCCAGCTGCTGATAAGGTTGAACGGATTAGCAAAAAGCCGAGGGATAAACCTCAAAGACAGAGACACTTAGACAGGGGATTGGTTAACAAAGAGACGCAGAGGACTGAGGAGCACAGGGGGGCAGGTTTGGAGCTGGGGCAACAMGAGGAAAGTGCTGCTGCGGAACCTGAAGTTCCAAAAGCAGATGTGCTGACAGAGACAGACTCAACAGACTCCACGTCAGCCTGTGATGTTGCAGGCAACATCCACGTCCTGACGAGCATCGCTCCACCCGAAGCTTCCCCCGAACTCTGTCCAGAAACCGGCCGTCCCCCTGATCTACAAGTCCCTGCTGCTCCCAGTAAGCCTCTACCAGTCCCCCACCCACGGAGACTTAAGAAGCCAGCCCTGGTGAGGCAGTACGGAGTGGAGGGGAGTGTCCAGGATCAGGTGGWGGAGGAAGGAAAACAGGAGGATGAAGCGCAGGAAGTTGAAGGAAAACCAAGTCTGGACTGCGTCGCTGAGACCCTGGAAGGTTCAGGTTCGGGAGAGGCTGATGCGCCGGTTCCTCCTCCCCGACAAACCTCCCTCTCCCCCCGCCTGCACAGAACTGTCCACTCGTCCCTGAACAAAAACACCTCCCACTCCTTAGACCTGCTCTCTGCGCCGGAGGGTGTGGAGTTCGGTAAGCGGCAGGTGGAGGAGGACGAGGAGGACGCGTACGGCGACTTCGAGCGCTACCCGACCACCCACAGCCTCCCCAAACAGATCCAGCTGGGGGGTCACCCCTCGCTGACCAACAGCAGGAGAGCTTTTTCCTCCGAGGAGTCGCCGAGGACGCCGCCGAGGAAACCTCAGAGGCACAGCCTGCCGGCGCCGCCGCCGCCCCCCATCTGCCCCCCGGCGCCTCCGCACGCCAACACCCCCATGCGGGAGCTGCCGGCGCCTCCTCAGGAGAAGACCGCCTGGCGCTTCGCACGACCCTGCGTCACCTTTTTCAGCCGGCAGATGCCCACCCGGAGCAGCGTGCCGCCAAAAGGCCGGGCCCCCTCGCTGGGGGGCAAGCAGAGGGCGCAGTCCTTCTCTGCTGCCGACCTGGCAACCCGGGCCCACCCCCAAAAGAGGAGCCTCTCTTTCCGCAAGCTGCTGGAGCTCCGGCTGTCKATGAAGATGCTGCCAAAGCTGCTGGCCAAGGGGGGGCAGTCCTTGGACTGTACCAGCGTGGAGTCCAGCGGAGGGGGGAAGAGCCTGCAGCGGCCCACCAGCTGCATTGAGGACTCGGGGATCTGCGGGGAAGGCGTGGAGGGGTCGGTGGAGTACGAGAATGTGCCGCTGTACGAGGAGATCCCCGAGTACATGAACCTGCCGTTTCACGGAGCCAGGCTGGGGTGGCCCCACGACCCCGAGGCCGGAGAGTCTGACATCTACGAGGTGCAGGACCCCTTTCCCAGCTGCCAAGACCACGAATACGAGAGGTAGGCACGATCAGAACGATCTGCTCACTTTGTTTTGTCTTTTCATCATAGCTGTGTTGCTAATCAGACATTATTTTTTATCTTTCTGTTCATTAATTAGCATTTATTCCTTCACTATAGTGTTTTTACTTATGTTGATGTGTCTGTTGGCGAAATATCTCATGAACCACTGCACAGATTTGAACAAAACTTTCATATTGTAATCCCTGGATGTACGTCTACAACTGATTAACTTTTGGAGTCAGCACAGGTCAAGTTGGCTGCCACAGCCAGTGTAACTTAAAAAACACAAAAACGCTTATAGCTCAGGCAGTTTCATAGATATTGACCTAAAATTTGGTGTGGTAGTAGCTGAGACTGATCGACAGCACAAGTTGTGCTGTAAGAGATTGTGCAGAAAAAAAAAGTCAGGCCGCACAGGTGATTCCAGCAGCTTGGATTTACAGCTGTAGAAAAGTCGGCGTCCGAGCCAGTGGCGCTGAGTTTGAATAGAGCGTGTTTTCCTGTGAGTTATTTTCAGTGACCAGGGCAGGAAATGTCTGAGAATCGCAGAAAACRCCACACGGCTCTGTAGAAGAGGGAGAAAAATATACCTCCGGCAACCACCAGCCTCCTCCTGTTCGGTCTGACCGCCCTCRCACTGTCTTTAACCTCTTCATAACCTTTTCTTCCCCTCCCCTCTGTAAGAAATAAAACACAAAATAAAGCTCCTATAAAAAGCTTTACAGTCAAAAGCTTTATGATCAGAAGACACAAGTTGTAGTTAATATGTGGAATTTTAAGAAGTAATTTATGAATAATAATTAAAATGATTTTTTTTTTTCTGAAGTGAAAGATAGTGCTTCTCAGACAAACAAGTTAGTTTTGCTGTTGAGCTGGAGCATAAAAATGAGCCGTTGAAAACATTCAGGATGTGCTCTGCTTCTTAATTCCGGCTGGAATGCAGAGCCGGGGTGTTTGTTAAAGCCGAGACAGAAGCAGCAGAAGTGAATCTGTAGTGTTTCCCAGCCATCTGAGCCTGGTGGGTTTCTGTAAGGAGCCCCGAGCTTTAAACAAGTGGCGCTCTGTGCCCAGCCCACAATGCTGGAGAGAGAGAGAGAGAGCAGGAGGGACAAAAACCTCAGCAGGGGGATTAGGTAAAAGAAGCAAGGGAAGTGGAGAGAGCGGAAGAGAGTGTGAGATTTTTATTTTTTTTCTAATCTTCATCCTGAGCCATCACCTTTTCTGGGTGAAAGGAGCCAAACTGAAATCAGGGCGCTCTCTTTAATTCGGCCCGTTCGGGGAAAGTCTGAGCTGGAGGTCTTTCTTCTGCAGAAAAGACCACGAGGGGCAGATGAAAACAGTAGTGACACAAACACATGCTGCTGCTTGTACTGAGCTGGCAGACGGCAACGTGTTTGTGGGAAGACTGCAGTCTGGGTGCCAGCAGAGAGRAGACTCCTGAGTGGAGAAATGCAGATTTAAAATATCTCTGCTGGAAGAAAAATCAGGAAATTAGAGCATCTATAAGTTAGATTAGCTCAGCAATTTAATATTTGAAGTTTCCAGTGCCGTACACTAATGTACCTCCATATCATCGTAGAAGCTATTAGCTGATAAGAACTTTGTGTCTTTTCTCTCCTCTGAGCTCCCAGAAGGATCACAGATTTGATCGTCTAGGCCACTTCCCCTCCACTAAATCCCTCGTCACCTCATCTGTCACACCTCCTCCACTGTTTAGTTGCATTTTTCTTTGTTCTGCAGTAGCTTTGCTCCTTTTATTTATCTTTGTGAATCCAGCGGTTCGTTTCTTGTACAGTAAATACACGAGTGAACTGGAGCTTTTCCTGAGAGTTTACACAATCCTCAGCCTCCCTGTCTGCRTTTTTACAGTCTTCCTAAGAATTTATCAGCGTGTAAATATCCATATTCTTCCTGAGTACACACTCAAAGCTCCGATTACGCAGATAAAAATATTTGTTGTTGTTTTTTTTTCCAYGGAGAACAGCTAATTTCTCTTTTCGTGCGCAGCGGCTGGCTGAARGAGGATGTCCACTCCGAGGAGGAGGACGAAGAGGAGGAGATGCACAGCTCAGACGAGGAGGATGACAGCTCCACCTCCAGCAAGGAGCACCTGGACGAGGCAGACAGGCAGGTGTGTGAAACTGACTCACCGTGGGCTCATAAAGTAATTAGATATAAACACCAAACATTTGCTAACGCTGCCAAAACACAACATCCAGGCTTGTTGAAGCCAGCGGCACCGCTTGTGTAACTATTTTACATTTTTATGACATCAGCCTTCCAGTTGAATCCAGTTGCATCAAAARCATTCGTGTGTGTTAATCTTTACTTCATTTAACTGCAACGTATAATGGAAAACGTTGACACGGATGCCTTTTGAAACCTGAGGGATGATCTTGGTYGTGTGTTTGCGAGTCACAGAGGACGRCTCGTATCAGTAATGTGTGTGTGGCCTGTTAGAAGTGTGTGTTGAAAGACGGGACAGTGAGCAAACACAGAGAGGCTGCGGGTTCAAGAATAGCTCCCTGAGAGTCGTTCTCCGTCCTGCGTGACCCCCTTCCAKGATACTGTCAACACCTGCGTCTGATGGCCCTCAAAGCTCCACAAATACAGACCCAGATAGGACCACTAGGACGTTTCAGTCAAGGCCGCTGTCCAAATTAAGTCAGCGAGAGRACGCCCCGCTGCCGTCCAAACACCAAACGTTCTGCTCTGCTGCTGTTTTTTTGTTTTGTTTTTGTTTTGTTTTACAAGTCATGGTGATCTGCGGCGAGCCTGTGAGTACCTCCTGCTCGGCTTGAGCCTTTTCTGCTGCCGTCTTACCTTTTTGTGTTTATTTCAGCAGGAGGACGAGATGAAGAGGAAGAAGGTGGTKCACATCGCGCAGGAGATCATGAGCTCGGAGAAAGTGTGAGTACACAAAAATATCATTTTTGTGTCGTAGGATCCGYTAAGATGTGTTGAATTTTAGCTGATTTATCTTTTTTTTTAATCAGGTTTGTGGATGTCCTGAAGCTTCTACACATAGTAAGTCTAATTAAATATTAGTTTGCTGAKTCTTAAGCCAATCAAAGCTTTTTTTTTTCCTCTCTTGGCTTGTGTTGACAGTGTTGAATGTTGTTGCTCTCTCACAGCTGTTGCTCCATTTGTGGGTTTTTTGGTTTGTCTGAGGCAACAGCAGGTAGGTGAAGGCCCTGCAACAATCASGGAGGAGCAGCTTTGATCTGTGCTGATTTGGGGAAACGCTGATGAGGGAGTGTGTTTGTTTATGGGCAAGGGGAAAAAAAGAGATTTTCTGGACTTAAATAAGAGCGAATCAACAGTTTGTTTAGGTTTTACTGAACTGTTGTGCAGGTAGCTGATTGGCATGGAGACGATTGATGACATGCAGGGACTAGAAAAACCTCCATGCCCCAGCTTCAGTCACTTCATCAGACTGTTTCTTRAAAACACTGTTGTCTAAATTCACCTGTAAATTGACATTAAAGCTAAGAAAAACCACTTCCATCAAAAGAGACTGATTCATCAAAAGATTAAATGTTTAAACTTAGTTATAATACGCTTGAATGGTTAACAACGATACTGGGCAAGAGTTGTGGCCGCCATCTTGGTAAGTGCTACGTCTGCGTCTTTTCTATCGACTGCAGACTTCGGAAGAAAGTAGCTGAGAATTTAAACGGTTTAGCCTTCAGCTTTWTTCCCGCACTTACCTCAGCGTATGTCCTGTCACCTATCAACTGTGTCGACACTAAACAGAAGCAAAATGGATCGAAGTTAACCAAATTTTCTTATATTATTATAAATTAACAAAATTAGGTTAGAGGCAATACTTGAAGAACTAAGGGACCCGCCGGACGAGCTCGTTTGATTTCTGACAAAAACRTATGCAAATACTAAAACCTAATATCATTATTTAAAACTGTACTCCTGTCTCTCGCTTCGTCTGCCATTAAAAGCAAAAAAGACCTCCTGGTCGACCCGCAATTCAGCTTGGGATAAGGTGGGCTGATCCACTGGAGGGAAAAGGAGGACGCATTTGGAGGAATGTTTGAATTTGGGCAGCCTTGGTGCATCGCTGTGATGTAATCGGCCTTCGAGGGATGCATTCCCTGAATTTGGACACAGCCATTTGTTTATCACTAAATATGTACAACAATACGTTTATATATAACAAATTTTTGCACATTGAAGCCACATCAGTCCAAATAAAAACACACAAATAGCTTCATTTTACTAAAGTAAACATTTATTACACGTAATGTGAAAACAGGAAATGTGCTGATCGAATGTTAGCATAAAGCTAACGCAGCACGCTAGCACTAGCCTAAAACAKTTATAAAGTGCAGTGATGATAGCCATTAAAGTACTTTACTGTACTGTAAGTATATTTCTACTTATTCTAACCAGAACTCTGCTACCAGTTTTTGTTGTTAATTTGTTTTTGAAAACAAATTAATTTAAACATCAAGTCAACAAGTTTCACTTTAACATACTGTAGCAGAAAATCTTCACTTTTTTTAGTATTCTTATTATAATCTTTATTTTCACTCAAGAGTATTAAAACAGCTCGTTTTCCATCATCTGCCAGATGGTTTAAAGGTTTAGGAGACAGGCGAGCCTTTGTMTGTGTTTACTTCAAGGATATTCTCTGTAGTGGACGTGTCTACAGGAACAAAAAAAAAGCCAGGTGAGGGGGCGGGTTCTGTGGGTCCTGCAAACAGGCCCACGGGTCTGACAGGACCATAGTTGTAGCTGACTGTAAGAGGGCGAGGCATGTCCAAGGAAAGAGGTCAGATCACATTTTTCTGCAGCAGCTACTTCCTCCGAGACCATCTCCACACACACGCACACAGACACACACAGAAACACACATACCTACAATAATAYCCTGTATGTGTGTGTGAGACGTTTATGTTGAATGTGTGCGGGTGGGTTTCTCTGTCCTTGCATACTTGTGGAAAGCTGTCCAGCTGACTTATTTCCTTCTTTTTTTTCTTTTTTTTTTTCTTTTTTTGGTCAGTTTGTAGTTGCGGGAGTTTTTAGATACTTTATTATTCTCAGTTAAACTGTAGAAGACTTTATTTTTGTATAGTTAATTTTTTACTGGGTTTGACTTATAAACATTTTGTATTTATGAGAGGTGAGTCAGAGTACAAATGAACCCAGAAGTCAGTGTTTCCTTCCAGCTTTCAGTGTAAAGTCAAAGTGCTGAGTCATGAAAAGCCTGTGCTCGGGGAGGGCTGGTTWGTTTATGAGGTGATAACCTGGAGTTCCTGTTCAGCTGCAGCACAGTTTGTTATGTTTTGTGCCAGCCCTCCCCGGACATCTGTGTGTGACTCTGCGTGTGTGTCTCTGCAGGACTTTCGGGATGCTGTTGCCAAGGCGACYCGTCAGAACGGGAAGCCGGTAGTGGACGAGCGGATCCTCAGTCAGATCCTGTACTACCTGCCTCARCTGTATCAGCTCAACAAAGACCTGCTGAGGGAGCTGGAGGAGCGGGTGGCACACTGGTACAACTGCACAAGGACAATCCTGTGACTTTTATTTTAGCCTTTTATTTTAGTTTTAGACTTTTATTAGCCTTAGAGTCATAAAAACTGAACTCTGTTTTACCTTAGAGCCTATTCTGAGGGAGATGGTTTTTGTTTATCTGWAAACAGGAGTGATCACCAGAGACTGTCGGACATATTCGTGCAGAAGGGTCCTTACCTGAAGATGTACTCCACCTACATTCGCCAGTTCGACAACAACGTGGCTCTGTTAGACGAGCAGTGCAGGAAAAACCCCGGATTTGCTGCCGTTGTCAAAGAATTTGAGGTACTTGTTCCTAATTTTTTGCACCAACGCTTAAAAAGTTCTGCAGGGTTTTCACCAGCCGTCATGTGTGCAAATGTGTGTGTGTATGTGTGTGTGTGTGTGTGTTTTAGCAGCGTATGAAAACAGCTGTGTGTTTGTTTTACCCAGACGAGTCCTCGATGTGCGAGCCTGGCTCTGAAACACTACCTGCTGAAACCGGTGCAGAGGATCCCTCAGTACCAGCTGCTGCTCACAGGTACCAGCACCTCCTCCCTCCTCTTCATCCTCCTGCTCCCTCCTCTTCATCGTCCTGCGCCCTCCTCCTGCTCCCAGCAGGTCATGAGTTTTATTCAAYCATGCAGCTGTTTTATTAGCAGCCTGAGAAGGAAGCTTTGCCTGATGCCAGGTTTTACTTTATTAATTTCATTGGTTGTTGTTTTTACTGCCCTCAAGTGGAGGATCAGAGAAGCACACCCCTCCATTCAGYAGTTTTTACTTGTATCGTTCATTTATTTCTCCATTTAGTAAATTATCTGCATAATATTCTGTTGTGTGATGTAAGGAGAAGAAGACTGGTTTTATTTATTTATTTTTTGTTTGTTTTTTGTTTTGTYTTTAATTACAACATTTAGTTTGCATTTCCTGTCTCATATGTTGGACAAAAACATTTATATTGGGGGTTCAAGTTCAACCAGTATTTATCTATTAAAACTGATTTTAATTGATAAATTTGTGGAAAAATTTCTAACAAATGTTTTTATAATTTGTAACAAAAAGAAAAACTACTCAACATCCTGTCTGAACTGGAACTTAATTCTGAGCCTAAAACTTTAAAAAAATTATCTTCTAAGTAACATTTAATTTAATTTAAATAAATTTAAATAAAGACACTAAATATAATAAAGTAACACAAAATGTTGAAGGTATTATTATTACAAGGGTAAGTTAAATTCTAATATGGTACAACAAACTTTATCATTGATAAAATAAGGGTAAATAAAATAATGTATATAATATAATACAGTTCCAACATAAACAGAAAAAGTTACTAAAAATAACTACTAAARTTCATATTTTCTGCTTAAAAACTTAAAGTGAATTGATAAAGTTMAAACTAATGGAACAGAAGCTAAAAAAGTTGCTAAAAGCTAAAATAAATCATAAAGCACATCATAGTTTAAACCTCACACTGGCAAAACAACTAAAAGCTAAAATCAGCAAAACAGTAGCTAAAAGACAAAAATATGTAAAACAGTAGCTAAAAGACAAAAATATGTAAAACAGTAGCTACAAGCTAAAATTACCAAAGCTGTAGCTAAAAGCTTAAATTAAAAGAAAAAAAACCGTAGTTGCAAAATAAATGTGGCAAAACCTTTGTGAAAAACTTTAATTAGCATATCTGTGCTAAAACCTASATTTAGCTAGACAGCAGCTAAATGCTAAAAGGCGTACAAAAAAATAGCTCCTGTTTGTCGAAGTAGATTTTAGAGAAAATACATAAATACCAAAAGTCTTGGCACACTTTTCCCAATCAAGCTGAACAGTTTGCTACACGATACATTGAGTTTCTGTGTTTCTGCTGTTTGTGTGAAACAAGTTCACAACCGTCAGCTGTGTTTTTAAAAACATTATCTGATTTTACCTGCAGTGACTGAATGGTTTCAGGACAGGACACAAAGGACATACRTAAGTTTTTAGTCTTAAATCTGAAACCTTTAAACCTCTGTGCTCCTCCACAGATTATCTGAAGAACCTGCCAGAAGACTCAGAGGATTATAAAGACACCCAGGGTCAGCTGAAGCTCAGTTCTCAGTCTCTTCAGGTTCTGGCTGAATAAAAACCAAACACTGAYGCTCGCTCTTTGTTTGTCTCTCCAYGCAGCTGCGCTCTTCATCGTGAAGGAAGTAGCCAACCACGCTAACGATATAATGAAACAAGGGGTAAGTCCTGCTTTTATTAGTGGCTTCCTGTCTGCAGCYGCAGCTCCTCACCTGTTCTCTGCTGTTCCTCAGGATAACTTCCAGAAGCTGATGCAGATCCAGTACAGTCTGAACGGTCAGCACGAGATCGTTCAGCCGGGCAGGGTGCGTGTTGTGAGCCTTCTCTGTAAGCAGCTGCAGCTGCTAACGTGACAGCAGGTAACGCGTGTTGGTGTCTGCAGGTGTTCCTGAAGGAGGGGACTCTCATGAAGCTGTCCAGGAAGGTCATGCAGCCGCGCATGTTTTTCCTGGTGAGCACATCCTTCATCACACATGGCTTTTAGAAAGGAAAACAAACCTAGACTACTACTGCGGTTTTGTTTGTTTTCCCAGTTTAACGACGCCCTCATGTACACCACTCCAGTGCAGTCCGGCCAGTATAAACTCAACAGCGTCCTCTCTCTGGCTGGGATGAAGGTTAGAAACATTTTTTTGTTTTGTTTTGTTTTTGGTGGAGATGGACAAATCAGATTTGAATGTTTTCCAGGTGAGCAAGCCGAGTCAGGAGGCCTATCAGAACGAGCTGAACATTGAAAGTGTGGAGCGCTCCTTCATCCTCTCAGCCAGGTCAGCTCTGATCGGACTCCGGGTTTTAAATGTTGGCTCCGAGTTCTGATGTTTGTCTTGTGTTCGCAGCTCCGCTAAAGAGAGAGACGAGTGGTTGGAGGCCATCGGCCGGGCCATCGAGGATTACACCAAGAAGAAAATCACCTTCATATCAAGTCGGAGTCAGGAGGAGGTACGGMTGTGGGTCTGTGTGATGCGCAGTGACGGTTCTGTTTTTATTACCGGGGTTGTGTTTGTTCGCTCAGGCCGAGGGCGTCGTCGACAGCGGGGCTCCTTTAGGTTCAAAAGCTCCAATCTGGATCCCGGACCTGAGGGCCACCATGTGTATGATCTGCACCTGCGAGTTCACGCTGACGTGGAGGAGGCATCACTGCCGCGCCTGTGGCAAGGTCTGAGCCGCCGCCGCCGTCATGCCCGCTCCGCGCGAGTTCAGAGGAAACACTTTCTCACGGCGCGAACGTCTTCCTCCCGACAGGTGGTGTGTCAGGCCTGCTCCACCAACAAGTACTACCTGGAGTACTTGAAGAACCAGCCKGCCCGTGTGTGCGACCACTGCTTCGCCAAGCTGCAGGAGAACAGTGAGTTGTGTCGAGTCGCACCGGCAGCAGGAGGGGCCGCTGAAAACCCTGGGGGGCGGGGCATCAACACCAAAAACCAGAGCAGGATTTCAGAATGTTGATATGTTGTCATATTTAGGTTATTCGATCTGTGCAAGAACAGGTGACAATAAATTAGCTTTGAAAAAATGAAAGCATTTTTGTTTTAATGTTTCAGGTGATCGCTGCGCCTCGACGTCCACGTCTCCCATCAAACCCGGAGCGTTCTCCTTCACAAGGAAGCAGAAGAAGATCCCTGCTGCGCTGAAGGAGGTAATAATAATAATAATAATAATAATAATAATAATAATAATCTCTGCATGTTTTAGTTTAAATCCTCTTTAAATCTCCCCCCCAGGTGTCCGCCAACACGGAGAACTCCTCCATGAGCGGCTACCTATGTAGGTCCAAGGGCAACAAGAAGCATTGGAAGAGGCTGTGGTTCGTCATCAAGAACAAAGTGCTGTACACGTACGCCGCCAGCGAGGTACACCCACTCTGCTCCCTGACGTTGAGGCCCCTCCCCCCACCGCTGTGTTTTTTTTCTGCTCTGATCTGAAACCCCGTCTGGTTGGATCTGTCCGAGCAGGACGTCGCCGCGCTGGAGAGCCAGCCGCTGCTCGGCTTCTTCCTGAGGGAGGAGAAGAACGGGCCGGCCCAGAAGCTGCAGTTCAAGCTGTACCACAAGAACACGCTGTTTTACATCTTCAAGGCTGACGATATCCCCACGGCACAGAGGTACCCCACTGAAGATGTTCCACCCTGAAAATCTTTTTGTGTTACACCTTAGYAAAGCATAATACACATCCAAAAACCTGCTTCTAATAGTTTTTTTATTCTGTTTTCAATTGAAACATCTTCAGTTTTAGACAAAATTGTCATAAACTGGCATGAAGTGCAACGTTCATATCCTTCAAATACAAAAAAGTCAAAGAAAACATCTTTATATTGAAGAAACTTAAAACAATACATATGATTTTATCCACTCTGTCACATAACTGGCATCATTTCTTTTGAAGTTGGCTCAAAGCGCAACAGGAAGTCACATCAAAGGGAAACTTTAAGAAATCAAACTTTTTTGTTTATTGAAACAATATTATTTAAACTCAGACTCCTCATCTCTCTAATCGAGAATCAAAATGATCTAAACAAACATCAGATTTCTTCTCTACAGTCTGTGTTGTCGGCCATTTTAACAACGCTCTGTTTACATGCAGATATTCCCCTTTGACATCACTTCCTGTTTCTTTTCATGTGAAGATCTCAACARCTGTTCATCTCAGCCTTACGAATTTTTTTTGCTATATTTTATCAATGTTATCTTTCCAAAAAGGCATTCATTTTATTACAAAGATTTGATGTCACAGGCACTTTAATTTAAAAATTAATTTTAAAAAATCATAAGAAGCGATAAGCGACAGCTTCAGGATGGACGTTTCCTCGTCCAGAAGCAGCTGATTGTGGTTTTGTTTCCTGTTTCAGGTGGATCGAAGCATTCCARGAGGCGATGATTCTTGAACAGTAGCCGCCTTTGAGGACACGGCCGCTTTACAGCTCCACAGTCGGCTGATAAACTAGAACGACCCCAGACCGGGAGGGGGTGGGGCCAGAGTTCACCAGCTCAGGAAGGATCCAGGTGGATGGATTAATAAAACCAGTTTTTTTTTTGTTTGTTTTGTTTTTTGTTTTATTTTTTTTACCCTAAAAGACTTTTTAAAGCCAGCAGCAGCTTGTGACATCGTTGATGTTGACTGCGGTCAGAGGAGGTGAGAGCGAGTCGCAGCTGCGGGGGTCAAAGGTCAAGTCCAGAAGTGGGCGTGTGTGGAAGTAAAACTGTCTGTGAGACAGGTCAAAGGTCAAGTCCAGAAGTGGGCGTGTGTGGAAGTAAAACCCAGCGGCTGTGGTGGGCCAGTCGAAGAGCTCGGATATCTTTGGGAGTTTAAAGTCTAGGAAAATGTTTTCAGGTGAAAGAATCACGACGAAGAACAACTAGAACCAGATGTTTACATACATACACCAAATAAAAACTCACTGTCCAACAGTATGACTGAATATCTCTTGTTTTGGTTAAGATTCCAAAAATTAAAAATAAATATATAGACGCAACAAAYTCAGACATCAAACAGGAAGTGTATGTAAACATCTGGTAAAACCCACAGTTAAACGGTTTGGTGGGATTTACTGTGAAACTGAAGCTTTAACACAGGAGCAGGTTGATCATCGTGTTCATCTTTAAAACGTTTGGATTTTTAAAAAAAACATCCAAACAGCTCAGAAGTTTACTAACCAGCATCCTGGAAACAACTGGAACTGTCACACATTTTATTGTTAATTTAAACCTTTTAAAAAAAAAACTATTTTCACCTGTTTATCTAAACCAGAAATAATGTTGTAAATTAAAATAAAGGAGCGACTTTTACTTTTTTTTTTTAAGCCAAGAGCTAATATTTATAGAATATGAAGATTTATTGTTGGAAAGCGCAGGTTGCCACTTATTGTCAGAGTTGTCAGAAAAATGATCCAAATCTTTCATTTGGGTTTTTTGAAATAAGTAAATGCTGTGGATGAATTATATGTCTTTTTAAAAAAGAGTTTTCTCTAGAGACATTGTGTCTTTTATGGTTTAACTTAAAAAAAACAACAGWTTATCATTTTTTTAACAAATTTATGACTCAGCAACATGTTGATTTGGAAACCCTGTATTTTCTTTTTTTATTAGTGGAGAAATAATGTTTGTTCTGTCTATTAGGGAACAGGAAGCATTTCATGATCAGACAGTAACATCTGTAAACACTCTAGTCTCTTCTGAACAGCGTTTTGAAACTGTCAGGCAACAGTTTGTAATAAAGTCTCTATAAATCACTCATCTTTGTCTTCAGTGTTTGACAGGATATTCAACTCCTGTTACTCCTGCTGCTGGGGTTTAAATGACAATTTGTAATTTTATTTGATGTTTATTAAGAACTATAAAATACATACTATAAAATACAAATATAAAAATACTTCAAATAAAACAACCAATAAAGCAATACATAGAAGCTGTCWAAATTAAAGTATTAAAATCTTCAAGACAGATTAAAAAAACTCAATGGTTTCTCTGATTTTTAACCCTTTTTCAGAGAAAAATCACCTAACACAATTTATAATTTAATTTTTTCTAACAGAAACACCTTTAGATTTAACATCAGTTCTGACTAGAAAACATTCAGAGAATAACAATCCAAATTTAAAGAAAATAGGCCCAAATAGGAAAGTAAATATTTGCAACATGAAAAATTAATTGTGTTACTTTTTAAAAACAATATCTGTAAAATTGAACAAACAATTTTTAGTCTGTATTTAAGGCTCTATTGAATTGTGTTTATTGRGTCTGAACACATTTACATTAATTTCCCAACTTTCAACACAATTTACCATACTGGCATTTGAATAAAGCTGTATAACATATGCAATTTTTTCATATCTAATCATTCATTAMCTAGACACAAAATGTCAACAAATGTACTCTTTTAGAAGATACATTTCCCAAAGAGATGAATAGCTATTTCATATAAATTTTGATTTAATTTAAAAAACACCTTACACACCACCAAACAAAATACAATTAACTTTTTTAAACTATTTATTTATTTATTTATTTATTTATTTTTTCATTCATTCATTCATTCACTCAATGAATGAATTTAGATGCGGAACATAAAGTTTTGTTTCCTGTTGTTCGTCGGACCGTGTATCTCAGGGTTCCGTCTAAACATGGCGGTGATCGCTAGGATGCTCCGAAGGATCTTTAAAGGCGGCGGAGGTCATGGGGGACTACGAGGATTGGTCTATCCGATGTTCAGGTCAGTTTCGTTCAGCATGTTTTACAGTTTGTGTTTTGTGGCTGAAGTTTGCGTAGAAAATTTAAAACCTAAATTATTTTCCATGTTTAATTCAGAGCCTATGGAGCTAACTACGGTTAGCTTGWTGACAGCAGAGTCTTAAATCTAGTTAAAGCTAATGAGCAGCTTGTTAACAAGCGTTTGATGCAGTCTTTAATATTGTTGTAGTCAGTTATTTTATTTACTCAGAGAGCCTTTGGTTTTGGGGARTTCATTTGTATTTTGTCCTTGCAGAGAGAACGATAACAAAAGAGGCACTTTGGTTGGTGTTGATAAATATGGAAACAAATACTTTGAGAACAAGAAGGACAATTTTTTCGGTAAGTTTCAATGTTTTACTTTTTAGACGCAGTAAGTTGACAATTTATTCTGACAAATCCAAATTGTCCTCTCATGGTGCATTCAGTTTAACTTTTACATCATAGCGTTTATTAAATTTAMATAGTTCTGACTTTTTAGGGCTGCAACACATTTCAATAAAAAGTCTTAAAGAAAACATCTACGTCTTTATAATGTTATTATTAGTTTGTGTCTTTCCTTTTAGAAAAACAGGCTTGTGATGATATATGTTAACAGTGTCTCCTCTCTGTGTTTAGGTCGCCATCGTTGGGTGGTCTATACCTCAGAGATGAATGGAAAGAATACTCATTGGGATGTGGATGCCAGCATGGTGCCAGCTGAATGGTCAGATACGTGATTCCATAATAAATTAAGTCTGAATGGGCGAAGATGAGCAGAAATCAAAGCTAAAACTGCTTCTGTTTTTTTTTTTTGTTTTGTTTTTTTTAATGCTCAGGCATGGCTGGCTTCACAGCATGACGGACCACCCGCCCACCACACATCCTCCCGAACCCCGGAAGTTCTTCGCCGAGGTCCACCAGTTCAACACGAGCGCCACCCCGCAGCAGTACGTCCCCTACCCCACCACCCGCAAGAAGATCCACGAGTGGGTTCCCCCCAAAGCCGGAGCCCAGTGAGCTCTGCCCGTTTCATTTCCGAGCTGTAAATTCTAGATTCTCGTCTGTGTTAGACATAAAAATAAAATCTAAACAAATGTTTTTTGACACTTCGGTCAGTGTTTCTTTCTGAGCTGGTTTCTTTACATGTCAAATGTTTATTCATCCTCACTTACAGTTAAAGCATTACTGACCAAAGTTAATCAAATTTAAGATATTTAATCGTGATTGTTTCTGTAATTATCTGTTTAAGCTGAAAGTCAAACATCATCCCAAAAACATCTGGAATGAATTTAAAGAAATTTAACTTCTCGATCCTCAGTAGATCTTTTTGTTAAAAACAGAACCAGGTCAAACGTTTTGAACAGAAAATTCAATCAATCACAATTATTTGTTWATGTCAAACCAAACACCGGTTGAAAGCAACAAAACAGTAGCTAAAAGATGTAAAGTGCTAGCTGAAAGCAACAAAGCTAAAAATAATTGTTAAAAGTAAAAGCAAAATGCTGCTTTAAAGTAGAAAATACTAACTAAAAACTAAAACAAAAAAATGTAGATAAAAAAATGCTAGCTATATTGTAAAAATGGGCTTTTTAGGTAGCAAAATGCTAGCTRAAAGGAGCATAAGAAAAAAAGTACACTGAAGCAGASTACGTATGAGAAGAGAATCAAATAGTGTTTCTGGAGAAATTAAATGGTCTCTATTTCTGTAGGGGAAATAAAAAAAAGTTGCAAACACCAAAACCCTGAATGATTTGATATATAAACAAAAATATGTTCAGAACACCACATGATGCTTTCAGCYGACATGTCAGGAACATTTCGTTAGCCTAATAGCATAATTGCCTAAATCATATTTGGCCAAAAATAACTTTGGCAATAATGCTAATTAGGTTAAGGATTTCTTACTTTAATGCAATGAGGCTGAATGACCATCAGGGGGCGSTGCTTGTCTTTATTTGTGTTCCTGGGTTCAGGTCTGCCACCTCAGCTGAATCAAAGATCAGTCTGCAGCAGCTTCTCGTGTCAGCGTTTCAGTGACTATCTCTCATCTTTTTTTTTATAAAGAAACCTGAGGCAGTGTCTCATTTAAAACCCTGAAACAACCAATGCGCCGGGACTGTCTGAGTCATTTTTTTGTGCTCTTCAAGCTGAATTGAACATTTCTGTTGAGTGAGGGGGTTCATTAGTGGCTGCGTGTCCCTGTWGCTGATGTCTCCAGTCTGATTGGAGCTGTGTAAATGGAGCAGATAATGTCTGCCTCTGTCTGGGTGTTTGGTGCTGAGGAGAGGAAACAGGGTTCAGTTTAACACTGACTCACTCAGGTTTCTGCTCTCTGCTGTCATATCTCCTAACAGTGTTCACCTCGCTTTTACTTCTGCCTCACTCCTCATCCTCTCCTGCATCTTTCATGCCCAACCTCCTCCCATCACTGATTTTTCCCCTCTTCTCCCCCTCGAGGAAAGCGTGAAATTCTTCACGAGGATTTTCTTGCAGACTCTCCAAATCTTGGCTATTTCTTAACGGGTCACTGCCTTTAGGTCGTTTTAATTTTTGAGCTCTTTCCTCTGAGCGTTTTGCTTTTTTAAATGTCCCAGTTCTGGACATTTTTTTCCCCATAAGTGTTGCTGCTCACAGGAAAAAGGGAAAACAGAAAAACAAGCTGAGATAATATTTTAGGTCTTATACATGTTCATTCAACTACTACATGCTTTTATTGTTTATAAAAAGAGAAAACCCTTTTATAGACATGGTTCTTGTGTCCATTCTCCTGAAAAAAAAACTCTGGAAGGATCTGATTTTTCAGCCACAAGAAGAGCAGGTTTAATTATTTGATTGCAGAGGAAATGAGGTTAAACACTTCCTTTAGCACACAGGAAACACCAGATTATTGTGTTTGAAAAGGAAAAGAAAATCATACGTTTTAGWGTTTGACAGAAAAATAATCAGCTTGTCTGCTTCAGTTTGTGTTTTGGAGTATTTTATTTCAGCACGGCCCTTTTGTCGCTTCCACAGAGTAAACTTTACATTCAAATAAACAAAATAAAGCMGTAATGGCTGCAAACTTAGTTACAAAAACTTGAAACAAAACCGAAAATAAAGGGAAGCCAGACTGGGGCCGATGAGAAAAAGTGGCTGCAGCTGTGGAAAACAGAAACCAACGTAAGACGTGGAGAAAATGAAAACATCACAGAAAAAGACAAAAACCTCAGAWCTTCACAGGTTGTCTGTCAGCAAAATATCTAAGGAACTTCTGGACAGAAACAGCTTAAAGGTCCTCACTGTGTAGAGTCATGACCAGCAGGGGCGGAGCCAGCGGGGGGCCGGGGTGGCAAGTGTCACCTCTGGCACCTGATTGGCCACCCCAGGTGCCACCGCCCGAATGAGTGACAAGTGGGGATCTTGGATTTTATATTGCATTTAGATTTTATTAAAGATTGTTCTCTGATATTAAATGCTTTAGCTGTGTATGTTTAAAAATAGCTGAATTATAGCCCTTTGTAAAATTAGCATTAGTGGTTAGCTTAGATTGGGATTAACATTGACAGTCGGCATGTGATCATAGCCACTCCACAATGTATTTCATCTCAATAAGTTTTAAGATGATTGAATTATACCCTTTTAAAGTTAGCTGTGGTGGTCATCTTGATTTTTTTTATTAGTTTTTAGAATTTGGTAAAGGTTGTTTTTAGCTATTTCTATAGCAGTCTTCAGCTTTGGATGGCTAAAAACGCAGAATATTAAGTTGTAGGGGTGTAAGAAAATATCGATACATTGAAATATTGCGATATTTCATTTCCCGATACTGTATCGATATTCTAAAGCCCTGTATCGATTTTTTTAAGGTTTAAAATGTCAACTTCCTGCCAGCCGTTCATTTTTACGTTGTAGTTCAGCCTCTGACCACTAGTTGGCAGCAGTGAGCCAG